GCCCACCATATGTCACATGACTTACTCCCAGGCTCCAGCAATGTATAGCAAACACATTTTCCACTTAACATACAACTTGTCCTGAGGAAAATAACACTTTTACCTCTAGATACATGACTTCTTGTTGTAAATTCTTTTGAAACTCTATAAATCTTTGCACAGTTAGCCTCTTCTTCAAATCTTTTCCAAAGAAGTATTCTTTGATACCACTGTTCACATGAGCAGATAGAACACTGCCTGTCACTACATGATCACGATGCCGCATCCCAGTTTGAGTCATGCTAAAAAGGATATTCTGAACCTGAAAATTAAACAGAAAGAATATCTTTATTGAAGTGTCTCAAACCAAATGAATGTATAGTATGCAAAGAGGTGCAAGTAAAGGTTTCAGTGCCATTCAATTCCTTTGAAATTGGATAAGTCAAGTTTGATAAACTGGGCAAAGTAATAAGTCTGAACTCTAATCATATTAAGACTTAATACATCACTTCCTTTTTCCTTGTGGAAAAAGATCATGCAATAAGGAGCAGATGAGGTAGATTGGAGTTTATGTAGCAGATTAATCCCTTAAACAGCCTGGTAAAAACATCTTACCCTGTTACTAAAAAAAACTCTAGTTCACATCTAATTATTGACATTCATTATCCGAGCAAATTCAAGTTTTACTGTTGGGATAACAACAGTAGCCCCACTGTTCCTCATATTAAAACTGTGGGTTGAAAACTTAAAATAATCCTTAAAAGAAGTACAAATATTGCCTTGTAGGCAGTCAAAAACAAATAAGCTAGACTTTTTCTTCAAAATGTTTTAAACCAAGGGTAGGCAGAGTTTGTACTTTTAAAATTTGGAACTTGGCAGAATAGTCCTGTGACTTCGTTGTTCCAGGTTTCTGATTTGGCACCTGTGTTTCTCTGACTAACCAAACATGCATTGGCCACAGTAAGTGAAAATGGGCATTATTATTGTTATGTAGATTTGTTCAGGGCTAAAGGTGTCAATGTTAGAACAGATTCACCATAATAGTTTCACTCTTCTTGCTGATTTCTAGTATGTTTTGTAAAAGTGCATATCAAGATTAAGTGTTGGTCCAGATGCACACAGAGGTACTTGTAACTTGTTGCCATGTTGATATGATATCCATTTACTAGGAGGTTCAGTTCTTTGCCATCAAATCCCTTTAATCTTTTCTGCTGTTCCAAACAGCATTACTAAATTAAAATGAATTAAAAACAATAGCAGCCCAATAATACTCCCTTGGGTACACCTGTGAAAACAGGATTAGGTTCAGACAGCACTCCATTAAATTGCTCCCTGCTTACAAAGGAACAAACAATCAGTAAACCATTTCAGTTCATTGTCCTGTATGCCATAGCAAGACAGCAAGACAGTTTTTCTAACAAGACCAAATGGCTGATGGTGTATTGATGCTTTAGACAAGTCAATGAACACTGCTCCTGTTGCTTTACTGTCATCCACTTCTTTCTAGATTAAGTCTGTAAAGAGAGTTACTGCCAATTCAGTTGAGCGATAAGACCTATAGCCAAACTGATCTTCGGAGAGATGGCCATTGCATTCAAGCTGCTTCATTACCTGCTTATACACCCTTCTCACCAAAATCTTTGACAAAGTAGGGAGAATTGATATCCGTCTGTAGTTGTCTATTTCTGCCAAAGCACCAGTCTTGAAGAGACAAATCACCTTGGTCACTTTCTATTTAGTAGGGACAACTTCAGTTGCAAGAGATAAGTTGATAATAAAAGTCAAAGGCTTTGTTATGACTTCTGCTGCATCTTTAAGCAATCCAGAGGGGAGGTTACCTAAGCCAGTGGCTTTCTTCCATTTAACGTTTCTCAGCTCTCTGAGGATCTCTGCTTCTTTCACAGCTCTAAGAGGGAATTCCTCTTTAACTTGAGTGAGTTTTGTTCCACTAGGTATGCTCCAGATAAAGTCATAAAAGTTAACAGCATAAAATTTGTAAGAAACAAAATCAAGTACAAAGGGCTGAAAACAGATGGCAAGAGGTTCAATCTCCCCATTTTTCAACTGATTTCTGCTGTAAGTATCAAGCTGTAAGTCTCTAATGACTGTGCAGATGATGATTATGATAATAAAGGAAACAGCCAAGACTCAAAAAAGAAAACCATCACAAATCTCCTACCTTTTCAAATTCCTCCGGTGAAACTTCCCCATCTCCATTTAAATCAAACATTTGGAATGCAATTTCAAACATTCTGGGAGGTACTAAACAGAAAGAAAGAATACCATCTCTTATTTAGAAATGACACTAGCCTTTCAATAAAACTGGTACATAACTAACAAAAGTTTCAATCAATTTAAACAAAGCCAAAGAAAATTCCAGCGAACGTGTAAGATGAACTGAGAAAAGAAACAGTCAAAAAAGTATACTTCTGAGGAACAAGGACTACCCAAGAATTGGCACTTTAACCCTCTAAACTCCCAAAACATAACTTTTCTCTACATTATCAATACAATAGCAAACAGACATACATGATAACACTGTTAGAAGAAAAATATAGTCAGAGAACGAAATAAGCCCATGTTCTCCCATCCTCAGGAAAACACTGTCCTGGCCCAAGTGTTCAGAAAGCTCTCCTTTATACTTGTGTTTCTGAAAAGTCAAAGCCAAAAAAATCACATTTTTGTGACTGTGAGAAGGAAATAAGGGGGAAGCAATGAAAAAAGGGGGAAGGGAGACATGCATGCATAGATTTTAGTACCCACTAGGTGAGTGACCGGCTGAGTGTAATTCCTGACTCTTCAGCCATAAAATATAAGAGTAAATTTTAAAAAATATATTTATGATATTGTATAATAAATATGATTTATCTGTTACTTCTTCCTAGCATTCTCCTCATTTGTCTATTAGTAATGTCGCAGAAGGTGGATAGTTGAAACTCAAAAAGGTTATAACTTTATATATAATAATATTGTTCTCAACTCAAAAAGGTTATAACTTTATATATAATAATATTTTTCTATCATATGAAAATGGAAATCAAATACTGCATTTCCTCAAAGAAACACCTAGGGCCTAATTAAAATTTTGGCTAAAGGGAGGGGCATTTATTGGAAGGAAGGCACTTAACCAGAAGAGGAACTTATTAAGAACAGATAACATACATGAGGGAACACTGCAAGCACATGGAGATAGAAACAACTAAAATGGAAAAGAAACTATTCTCCTGTACTAATTCTACTGTATTCAAAGCTTCAAAGTTATAAATTAAGTGGCAAAAAAAAACTATAGATCAACATTGTTAAGCTGGGATGTATACAAAAATACAATCAGCTATCACTTGTCTAGGGCAATTATGTACCTCAGGATTAAATCTTTCATGTTCATCAAGTCCCAATCCTGAAACAAGTAATATGAATGAATAAATAGATATATGTAAAAATAAAATATTTCAAACATAAAGGGACAAAGGAATAAAAATCAACTGAATAATTTGAGAATTACTTATAGCATAGGAAAAGCTACTTTGAGAAAAATAAGTACTACTAACTCAATAATACAATACTAGTTTGAGTTTAAGTTATGCAGGGAAATTATCATTAATAGCTTTCATTTAATGTCTTAAAGTTAAACCAGTCCAAGAATTAAGCAAAGGTTTTTGGGCACAATTTCTGCAAATCAAATTGCTTAGTGTCTACAATTTAAAGCACAACACAATAGAGATCAAGAATTACAAAATCCTTCTTTACCAGCAGGTTGTATTTTTCCTGGGGTCAATGATCTCACAAAATCCTCAGGTGTCATGAACACATCATTGTCCTCACCAATATGCACAACTTTTAGTGTTGCAAAGTATCTGAAAACCTTGTCTGGAGTGCTGTATTGTCTGATTCGATTTTCATACTCAATAATCTGAGGAACAAGGGAAAGACTTCACCACTTAACACACAT